GATTCACCAGGGACAGAGTGAGGAGCAGAACAGGCAGATCAACGAAGTACACTGCTGAGGGGAGCAGTGGGCGGGTCAGGGGAGGTCTGCCGTGCCATGTGGTCACCTCCAGGGCAGGCGGGGATCGAACTCATGAGGTAGTGGCTTAAGCTTCTTAGTGCAGCGCTTTAACCCACTGCACCACCAGGGAGGGCCCACCTATTGGTGATTTCTATTGGGGTAGGTGTGGCACATGACAATAAAATCTAATTCAGACAGATAGCTGTGTCAGGATGCGTTGGTTAGGGAAGTAATTGAAGTTAGCCAGGTTAAGAGGCTACTCCAAGAATCAAGGACACAGAAAAAAGTAGGAAATACATAGAGAACCAAAAATTGCTGATTAGGTATGTATGGTTAAATATGATTTTTTAAAAGGATGTATATGTTTTGAGATGCAATATGAACTAAGATGCTTACAAAATGTAGCCTGTGGCTAAATCTAGACTCCAAGGAAGTTTCCAGACAAGTTTTCTGGAGGTTGTTGGATCTAAGTCATCACACTACATCATCCTGCCAAATGATGATTCTGGATCCTGTCCAACAGCTCACTCCTAGGCTTTACATTCTCAGCAGCATAGAAATTAATGATAGGAAACATTTTAGAGAAAAAAATTAGATCCTACCTAAAAAGCAAAGATGCAAAGTTTAGAATTGGGGTCCTGAGCTTAATTATTTATAAGCATATTTATAAACCTGACTGACAAGTGAGCAAAATGACTCAAAATAGACAAAAGCAACCACGAAAGACCACTGCTGACAGACCACTGACATTTAGCCTTGGTATAGAAGACGGGGTGGTGCTGCAGAGTGAACCCCACAGCTTAGGCCTGCTCCCCACCTGCGAGTCACTGATCTTCCCCCATTCAAGAATGTGGGCTCATTGTTGCCAAAAGAGCCAGTTTTAACAGAGATGTTGGAAACACAGATTTTAAGCCTCCTCAGTTTTAAATCTTGCAACTGATTTGTTTAAAAGCAAAACAAACAGAAAAAGCATTGTCACAGATGA